GCAGAAGCAGCAGCAACAGCAGCAGCAGCAGCAGCAGCAGCAACAGCAGCTCGCGAAGTTTGCTCTCGCATTCAGGGCTCCTGCTGCTGCAGAAACTCTGAAGGGAGCAGCAGCAGCAGCTGCAGCAGCAGCATCCGTGCGTTTGCTGCTGAGCTCTCTACTGCACCGGGGGGCTTTAAGGCTAGCTGCTGGCGGCTGCCTCTCTATTTGCTGCTGCTGCGCTGCTGCTGCGTAACTCGCCCGTTGCTGCTGGTGTTGACGCTGCTCAGGGCGCGGCAACTGCTGCAGCAGCAAAAAGCAGCAGCAGCAGCTACACACCGGAAACACCCCCCAAGGGGCTACAAACGAGCGCAGCTGCTGCTGCAGCAGCAGCAGCAAGCTGCTGCTCCTTCCGCAAGAGATGACGATCATATAATTGACAGCAGCACCTGCAGCAGCGGGAAATGCAACAACGGCAGCAACAGCAGCAGCAGCAGCAGCGTTTGCTGCTGCAGGTGGCTGCAGCAACGCGTATCAGAAGTGCTGCAGTTTGCTCTTCATTTTAAATTTGCATGTAAACAGAAGATATCCGAGGCGCTGCTGCTGCTGCTGCTGCTGCGGCCCCTCCCTGAAGAGGAGCTTCCCCAGCAGCCTCTCCACCTGCAGCAGCACAACAACAACCAGCAGCACCAGCAACAGCAACAGCAGCAGCAGCAGCAGCGCCAGCAGCACCAGCAGCAGCAGCAGCACCAGCACCAGCAGCAGCAGCGCTGTACATGGGCAGCACCTGATCTCTTGAACGGAGACAGTGAGGCATTTGTCTGCAAGTTGCTGCTGCTGCTGCTGGGGCGGCTTCCTCATGACGAGTCTCCAGTGCAGCTTGCTGCTGCTGCGCAGCAGCAGCAACTCGCCCAGCAGCAGCAGCAGCAGCAGCAGCAGCAGGGAGGTGATGGAGACGATATTATATGCGGCATCCCATGGTGGATTGAGGCGCAGCTGCTGCAAGACAGCAACGAAGAGCAGCAAATTGAGAAGGATGTAAACAGATCCTTTACTACTTGGCGGGTAGACAGCAGCAGCAGCAGCAGCAGCAGCAGTGAGGAGAGCGATAGCAGCAGCAGCAGCAACGGCAGCTTCCTCAGCCTATCAGAAGGCCCACCGAGCGCTCGCAGCCGCAGCAGCAGAAGCAGCAGAAGCAGCAGAAGGAGAGTCAGCAGGAACAGCAGCAACAGGAGCAGCAGCAGCAGCAAAGAAGATATTGAATGCTTGCGGAGGGCTTTACGTTTGCTGCTGCTGGGGCTGCTCTCCCGGCACTTCCCTACTCTGATGTATGCACAGGGCATGCATGATCTCGTTGCTGCGCTGCTGCTGCTGGTTCTTAGGGCGCTGCAGCAGCTGCTGGAAGCAGCTGAGGTGTACAGACAGCTGGCCTCTCACAACCTCCGCTGCAGCAGCAACCCGCAGCACCCCGTTCACAACCCCACACTCCCGCAGAGCAGCAACTCCTGCTGCGCTGCATGCAACAGCAACAGCAGCAGCAGCAACAGCAGCAGCAGCGGGAACAGCAGCAGCAGCAGCAGGAACAGGAAGAGGAAGGGAGATGCTGGTGCATCTTTGTACGCTTTGCCTTGTTGCTGCTTGTTGCTGCGGTGTATGCGCAGCTCGGGTGTTGCTGCTAGGCGCGGGGTTTGCTGCTTACTTGCTGCTTCTTCTGGGGTTTCTTTGATGTGCTGTCTGCTGTCGTTTACAATAGCAGAAAGAGTGTTTATATTTTTTGTAGTAGATTTTCTTGCTGCTTCATTTGAAGCGTCTTTGCTGCCTGCATTAAATCTGCTGTCGCTGCTGCTGCAGCAGCAAGACCCGCAGCTATCGGTGCTGCTGCGTCTTTGTTCTTCTGCTGCTGCCTATACACCTGGAGGAGAGCTGTTAGCATGTGTCTCGTGGATTATTACTTTATTTACTCATATAAGCACTTCGATAAGCAAGACATCTCGCGTATTAGATTTGCTGCTGTCTCTACACCCTCAGTTTGTGCTGCATGTTGCTGCTGCTGCTGTACGAACCCAGCGACGCCGCCTCTTTGCTATCTGCAGCAACGCGCTGCAGCATGCAAACTCGCCTTCAAGTCCCTTGCTGCTGCTGCTGCAGCAGCACAGGCAGCAGCGCCAGCAGCAGCACCGCCCACAGAAGCAGTTGCTGTCGCAGCAGCAAGACCCGGAACAGCAGTTGCAGCAGCACCAGCAGCAGCAGCAGCAGCAGGAGCTCGGCGTTGGAGTTGATTTGGTTGAGATCTGCACAGCAGCAGCAGAAAGCCCTGAGCTGCTTCATTTGTTTAGATGCAGCATAGGGGATGCGGTGTATGGGGAGGTGCATGCAGTGCTGCAGCATGTACACCTCAGCAATCTATCTCTCGAGCGTCTGCTGCTGCAGGCTTGGAGTGCTTTGCTGCACGAAGTGCAGCCGCAGCAGCTGCTTGCTGCTGCAGCAGCAAACGGTGTGCAGTTGCTGCCGTTCTCTCCTCTGCAGCTGCAGAATCCGCTGCTGCAAGACAAAGCAACAGCAGCAGCACCAGCACCAGCAGCAGCAGCAGATTCTCCAGTTGCTTCTTGCTGCAGCTGCGTCAGCATGTCTTATCTGTCTCCGTTCTTTTCTGTTGTGGGGTCTCGCATGCCCCCCATTGCTGCAGCATACAAGGCCCTCTGCCGGGGGGTCCCTTTCCGTGCTGCTGCTGCTGCTGCTGCTGCTGCTGCTGCTGCTGATAGAAAGGGCTCAAAGAGGGCGTTTGTTTCAGCAGCAGGAGCAGCAGAAGCGTGGATTCGGGTCTTCGGTGGTGCTGCTGCTGCACCGCAGCAGCAACCCCACAGCTCTTTGCTGTTCGCAGTGAAAGCTGTTGCAGCAGCGAGCGGAGAGGCGTATCCTTGCTGCTGCTGCTGCTGCACAGCGGAGAGCAGCAATGCATCTGCTACTGCTGCAGCAGATCGACCCCGCAGCACCACCTGTCCTGAGGTGTACAGACACCTGCCGGTTCTTGAGGCTGGAAGTGTGGGGTGGCGTCAGCCGCTGCCTTCAGTGTTTGTGCCTATCGACAGCAGCAGCAGCAGCAGCAGCATGAGTGCGTATCCTCAGGTTCAGCGTGCTGTTGCTGCAGTTGGTGCTGGTGCACTATTCCTTCCGATGCGGCTGCTGCAGCAGCTGCAGCAGACGGATGCTGCTGCGCTGCTGAGGTGTACGTACACCTCAGCATTAGCATTCGTCAGGCCCAGTGGTTTCTTCTTACCTGTCTGTACAGTTGCTGTTGTTTGTTTAGCAATGCTGCTGCAGTTTCTTAAGGATAAACAACATTTTTGCTTCTTCTCGCTCAGCTTTTCAAGCCCTCCTTAAGCTGCTGCTACCGCCTAACGATAATTTGGGGGTCCTCCTTAGGGTTTAGGGTTTAGGGTTTAGGGTTTAGGGTTTAGGGTTTAGGGTTTAGGGTTTTGGGGTGTCATGGGAGGGTTTAGCGCTTTCGATGAAGGCAGGCGAGCCTCAGAGTCGTATTAAATAAACAAATAATATTAACAAGACTAGTAATAATAATATGAAAAAGAATAGCAATAATAATACGAATAACAATAATAATAATAAACAACAGTAATACAAGTAATAATAATAAAAATAATAGCACAGAGCATCAATGCTGTTACTGCATATAAATATACACAAAAATAAAACAAAAATAATAAAAGAGACAGCGATAATAATACCCATTAGCATTAATACAAATAAATAGTAATAATCACAACGAAAAATAAGTAGAACTATGTGAGGCATATGTGCAGAAAACCCTAAACCCTAAACCCTTGAAAGAGTTTTCAGGTGTACGTACACCTTAAAAAAATTGCTTCTCTCCTCGCCCTAGAAGCTGTTTTATAGTTCCTCCTGTTATTGTTTTTAAACAACAATTTATTAATATCTTATTATTTTTATTAATATATAAATATATGTATATATATTATAGAGCAGCAACAACTTTATTTTTTGTATTGAGTGCATTTAGAAAGAAGGAGACAGCGCAGTCTGTTGTTTGTGTTGCAGCGCCTATAACACCTAAACCCTAAACCCTAAACCCTAAACCCTAACTTCATTGCATGCAGATGGTGTTGAGGGGGGTTTGCATGCATCAGTAGCTACCTGTTCTGCATGCATGCACGCTAATATGTACATAAATATGTGAATGCATATATATATATATACTATATAGATATATACAAGTTAAAATATATGTTAAAATATTATTGTAGCTATATATTATATATTTCATATGAAGATGCATACATACATATATATATATATATGTATATATATATATGTATATACATATATATATATATATGTATGTATATTTATAGACAAAGTTATTTATTAATGTACATGGATTTATTTTATTTATAATAAAAGAAAATAAATTTAAGATTAAAAACGTAATACAAACAAATTGCAGCTTAGGGCTCTTTACTAATAAACAATTTTATATAGTAATGCATGCATGCATAAAACAATATATATAAACATGAAACAATAAACTAATAAAAATAAGTATATATATAATAAATATATATATATAATAAATGTAGGATGTATGTACTTCGTATATAGAATAACATGAGGGCATGCAGATAAAACAAATGAAATATTTTCTACTGTCGAAGCTAAGCAAAGAAGGAGATGGGGATAAGGGTTTAGGGTTTAGGGTTTAGGGTTTAGGGTTTAGGGTTTAGGGTTTAGGGTTAAGGTGTAGCGACAGAGAGTACGAGGAAGAAACATCTGTTTCTTTGCAGCCCCTAAACGGGTTTAACGAATCTCAATTACAATTTATTTTAAAGTTAATCAACAAAATAAACAAACTTACTAAACATTAACACAAAAACAGCAACTGACACGATGCCTTAACGCACAGGATCAGCTACAGCAGCAGCAGCAGCAGCAGCAGCAGCAACAGCAGCAGCAGCAGCAGCAGCAGCAGCAGCAGCAGCAGCAACTGGGGTGTATATTCATCTTCCCGCTGTTCCCGGTTGTTAATAGACCATTTTGTGCATTTAAATATATTATTTAGATTATTATTTAAATATTAATTACTATTTGCATGCAAAAAGATAAAAAGACAAGCAACAGGGGCCCCCAGCCCTGGAGGTGCTGCACACAGCAGCAGCAAATAGAAGCCTCGGTGTATATACAGTGTGTATAATTCGTTTTTCTTGAGTTAAATAGAATAAATAAAATATTATTTTATTATTTTATTTACTCTAATTATTTTCTTTTGTTTCTAGAGGAAGAAAACAGAGACACATACGCTGCTGCTGCTGCTGCTGCTCTGTAGCAACACCCAGGGCATGCAGCTGCTGCAGCACCTCTTTATTTTGCTGCTGCTCTCTTCTCATCTTCTTTTTTACTTCTTTAAGGGATTCCATCTAAAGAAGCAAACTCTACAAATATCTTGTTGTCTTTTAATGCCCTACGGTCTGCTGGGTCGCTCGTGCACTCTGCAGCAACAGCAGCAGCAGCCGAAGCAGCAGCAACACAAGCAGCAACGGCAGCACGAACGACAGCAGCAGCAACAGCAGCAGGAGCAGCAGCAGGGGGCTAGCTTCTGTAATCAATGATTAGGTAGCGCCAGGGCCGTGGCGGCTGGGCTCTGGAAGTTCAAATATCGCTGCTAAGAGCCGCTGCTGTTGTGCTGCTGCTGCTGCTGCTGCTGCTGCTTCTGCTGCAGCAGCTGCAGCTGCTACAAATGGAGGAATCTCTGTTGGAGGGTGTCCTGAGCCGCGTGATGCTTTGTCTTTTTTCTATTTCTTCTCCTTTAGGCAGCTTGTTTGCGTGGCTGTTGGGTGTATTGTTGTGTGTGTTGCTGTTGCTGCTGCTGCTGCTGCTGCTATGTTTGGTATTGCTGCTACCTTTACCCCGGCGTCTGCGCCCTGTATATAAGCCGGCGGTGATAGGCATGGGTGCTCTGTCTCCTCAGCCTTTGAATCTGTCTCTTTTATATCAGGAGCAGAGTGCTGCTGATGGTGCTGCTGCAGACGGTGCTGCTGCTGCTGCTTGCTTCTCTTACAGCAACCCTGCAACACGCACTTGGGGGTACTTATTAAGAATTTCAGGCTTAGTGCGGCCCTGGCATGCGCAGCAGAAGCGTTCTATTCTAGGTGCCTCTGCTTGCCGCTTGGGGGGCCCCCCTTCATCTCCAGGAGCAGCAGCAGCAGCAGCAGCAACAACACCAGCAGCAACAGCAGCATCGCCAACCAGCTCGCTGCTGCCCCACAGTGTTGTAGATAGATTCTCAGGCTGGGGAGGGGAGACACCTGTTGCTTCGCCACACTTCTCGCGTCATCCAGCTGCTGCTGCTGATTTATACAGGCCGCTAGAAGCGCAGGCTTATGCTGCTGCTGCTGCTGCAGCAGCAGCAGCAGCAGCAGAAAGCGCAGGAGGCAGGTGCTTCTGGGGGCTACACTACCTCCCCGCGGAACAGACAGCAGCAGGAGCAGCAGCAGCAGCAGCAGCAGTAAAGGCAGGAGCAGAAGACGCCTGTGGATCGACTGCAGCAGCAGCAGCAGGAGACGCTTGTCAGAGCTGCCGACTTGCTGCTTCTTGGTTGCAGTCTCCTGCTCTGAGCCGGCAGCAGCTGCTGCATGCATGCCCTTCTCTATCAAGCGGCTTTAGCCCCAGCAGTGTGCTGCTGCAGCAGCGGCTGGTGCAGGGTTTGCTGCTGTTTGCACAAGAGGAGACAGGCCTTGTTCGGCTTATTCAGTTTGATAGGAAGTACTTCGTTACGTCTGTTGACGGAGATGCTGTTTTGCTGCACTACTACAGACACCGCACAAATGCTGCTGCATGCGCAACCAGCTGGGGCCCCACAGATGCAGCAGCAGCAGCAGAAGGCGTCGGGTGTACTGACAGCCGATTCAAACACGGAAGACCTCATGGACTCTGTGGCTGTAGAGGCATTCTCTTCATTGTTGGAGGTAATCTGCTGCTGCTGCTGGTTTGCTGCTGCTGGTTTGCTGCTGCTGGTTTGCTGCTGCTGGTTTGCTGCTGCTGGTTTGCTGCTGCTGGTGTGCTGCTGCTGGTGCTGCAGTTTGCTGTTGCTTGTATTTTGCTGCTGCATTTCTTCGTAGTTAGTTGCACGTAATGGCTAGTTTTGCTGCTGCTGCTTCTGCTGCTGCTGCTGCTGCTGCTGCTGCTGCTGTTTGTGCAGGTATTGGTGCGAAGGCGTACGACTTGCAGGTGCAGCACGTGGTGCTGCTAGCAGCAGCAAAGGGTTTTTGTGTATTTTTTCTTTCTTGTCTCCGGGGCATAGAAACCCCTATCTCGAATCTACCTACAGACTTAACAACAAGTGCTGATGTTCAGGCAGCACTTACATTTATCTTGCATTTGCATGTACACGGATTCAAACGAAAGCAGCAGCAGCAGCAGCAAAAGCAGCAGCAGCAGCAGCAGCAGCAGCAGCAACATGGCGCTGCAGCGGGGCAAGGCAAGGAGCCCCACCGCCGTAGACGCAGCAACGCAGGCGCGACCCAGCAGCAGCAACAGCAGCAACAGCAGCAACAGCAGCAACAGGAGCAGGAGCAGGAAGAAGAGGAGGCGGTGCTGACAATGAATGAAGTAGACGAAGAATTTCGTAAGATGATAATGGAGGGTGCAGAAGAAGTTTTTCTTAGGAATATACCGCCAGGGTTTATACCCCCTGTCTTTTTAATTGGTTATTCGATGGGGTCTTGTGCAGTGCTGCGGCTGCTGGGCTCGCTAGGGCTGCAGCAAGCAATGCAGCAGCTGCAGCAGCAGCAGCAGCAGCAGCAGCAGCAGCAGAGGGGCAGCGGAAAGGACACCCGACGAACCTCTGCTGCAGAAACCCCCAACAGCAACAGCAGCAACGACAGCAACAACAGCAACAGCAGCAAACGCAGCAGCAGAGGCCCTGCAGAGCCTTCATTATTTTGTCGAGATCTTGCTGCTGCTGTTGCTAGCGAATATCTTCCTTCTTTAGAATGGAGGCGCTTCATTGCGGGTGCTGTTACAATATCCAACGCTATGTGCTTAGATAGGTCCGCCAGCTGTACAGACACCCCAAACCCTAAACCCTAAACCCTAAACCCTATTCACTAAGTACAGCGTGCAGACACAGGAACCCACAGGCAGCAGCAGAAATAATAAGGTTGGTTATTTTGTCGAGATCTTGCTGCTGCTGTTGCTAGCGAATATCTTCCTTCTTTAGAATGGAGGCGCTTCATTGCGGGTGCTGTTACAATATCCAACGCTATGTGCTTAGATAGGTCCGCCAGCTGTACAGACACCCCAAACCCTAAACCCTAAACCCTAAACCCTATTCACTAAGTACAGCGTGCAGACACAGGAACCCACAGGCAGCAGCAGAAATAATAAGGTTGGTTTAGGGCTTAGGGTTTAGGGTTTAGGGTTTAGGGTTTAGGGTTTTTAGGTCTGGGGTTGAGGGTTTGAGGTTTATTGTTTTTTGTTTGTTTATTGTTTATTGTTTGTATGGCGTTCATTATATTATGTTTTATTTTTGTTTCTTTTACCTTGTTTATTATTTCTTAGTCCTTATTTTATTTTATTTATTTTTGTTTCTGCTACCCTATTAATAATTTCTTTTTGTTTATACAAATTGTTGTATGTGTGCGTATTGAATAATGCATGCAGCTGTATAAGGTCTTTAGATAAAGCTTCAGGCGTTACAGGGCGTCTCTGCAAACAAACAATGCTGCAAATGTACAAAGTTAAACAATGGCTGGAGCCCAGCAACAGCTACGTCTCGAGAGGCTTAGACCCGGGGCTTGTCTCCCTCTCTCAGATGGTGAGATATATATATATTATATATGTATACATATATATATATATGTAGGTGCTTGTTTGTTTATTTGTTTATTTATATCTTATTTATTCGACTATATATCTATTTACTTTATTTATTTATTTATGTGGTTATTTATAAGTTTCTCTCCTCTGTGCATGCATGCACATAGGAGACAGACTTATGAATTGTTGAGGTAATAATGCACTGCATTATCTTTTTTTCGTCTTTTCTTGTTTTGTTTTGCTTCGCTTTGTCTCCTCGTGTTGTAACCACCGGCCTGCCTGTGCTGTGGGGCTGCATGCACCCCTGTTCATAGCAGAAGCAGCAGTATCAGCGAGAGCATCAGCAGCAGCAGCATCAGCAGCAGCAGCAGCAGCAGCAGCATGAGGGCGCGCATGTTTGTTTGGTTTTGTGTGTGTTGTGTATTTTTGTGTTTTGTTCAGACATCAACTCTTCGAGAGATAGATTTGTTAACGCATTTATCTCTCTGTTTTACGCCTTCTTCTCCTCTTGCATGCACACGTGTTTATTATGCATTAACTACTTGCTTGCCGCATATGCTGCTAGCCCCTGTTCCTCTATTATGTTTGCATGCGCTAGATGACCCCATAGTAGAGCCTCTTGCTGTATGCAGAGCAGCAGCAACGGTGCCGAAGTATAACCCGAACTGTACGTACGCTGTTGTTAGAAAGGGGGGGCATAATTTATTTCAAGAGGGTTTCTGGTCTTTGTTGGGGGGTGTTATAAGGAAAGGATTAAAGAAGAAATTGTCTTTTAATACGAAACATCAACAAAAAGATAATATTAATCATACTCATCAAACAACGCAACAACTTTTTGAAGATCAGAGCTTTCAAGCGAGAGTTGCGCTTGAGTTCATTACTGGCGTGTGGAGGCGCTGCAGCTAATTCTGCTGCTGCTGCTGCTGCTGCAGCAGCAGCAGCTTCTTCGCATATTGGGGGCTTCTTTTTGGCTTTCTTTCTGCTGCAGACAGCGGAGCCTCCTGTTTTCTTGTGATGCTTTTGCTGCTGCTTCTTTTTATTTTTCTCGTGTTTGCTTTTTACTTCGTTTGTGCAGATGTCTGCAGGATACCTGTTGCTGCTGCTGCTGCTGCTGAGTATACACCGCAACGCCCCAGCAGCGCAGCTGACAGCTCAGAGCCTCCTTTCTTCTTGCAGTGCCCCTTAAGGGAGGGGGCCGCCTTATTGTTATATTTCCTCGTGCAGCGGTATTCAGTTATTTCGTGTTGTGCAATTTTGCACGGAGTGCCAACCTCAAAGACTTCTTCGATAAAGCCCTGTGTACTCTCTCTATTGCTTATTGTCCTCTATAGCAAACAGCTAGTCACATAGCTAGCTACACAGCTAGCTAGCTCGCTACCCATCTAGCTAGCTACCTGGCTGGGGAGCTAGCTAGCTGCGTCGCTGGCTTGCTAATTGGGTAGCTTGCTGCACCTAGCTGGTTGTGCAGCTAGCCAGCTTAGCTAGTCACTTGTAATGCCGTGTAGTTACACGTTGCAGTCGGACTATTATATTTATATATATATATATATATATACATGAGATGATGAATAAGGAGGGAGAGGCGGTGATGAGCTGTTCCCTTGAGATGATCTATATCTGAATGTAGACACCTTTAAAGGCTGTTGTGGGAGACCCAGTTCCCTTCCTTCATTGGCATCGGTATACAGGATGAGATGCTATATATATATATATATGAGGTGCTTCGTTAATAAGAGGACCGCAGCTGGTGCTGATTCATTAGAGGCAGCCAAGCAACACTATTAGTACGGGGGTGTGCATACTGTCTGAATTGCTGGTGAAATTTATATATATTTCTCTTGATTTTCACGCTAAATGCTGCATGTTAAAGGCCACATAAATGTGCAGCAATTGTCTGCAGCTGAGGCTCTTTCTTTTGATAGTGTTTCTGCTGTTGGGCTTGTAGTAAACAAAGGAAGAGGAACGCGACTGAGCTGAGTAATGCATATGAAGTGTTAATGTTTATGCATTCATTCTTGTTGTTTTTATTTTAAAAATAGCTTTTTAATTCAAATTTTGTGGATTTTAGAGAATTTAATTCATCTTCTTCTACAATTCAAGAGGCTGCATGCGCTGCACAGCCCCCAACAGACCCTCTCACTAGCAGTGGATCTGCGACAGTTCATGCAGCAATTAAGGCGATTAAAGGCAAAAAATGCTGCATTTTGCAGCAGTTGTACATTTAAATTAAAATAAACTGTGGTTTTTGCGTCTTATATCGGTTTCCTGCTGTTCATTTACCCACGTAGAGAGCCTCGACTCCGCTGAGCGGTGCGCGATTTCAGAGCGTGTTGTACAAGTTTTCTTGTGTTTTCCGTGTTATTTTGTGTATTTGGGCTTAATTTGGTGTTTTTAATGGAGAATTAAAGAACTAAATGGCGTCTAAACTCTCAAATTGATGCCCCCACTGAACAACTTGCATGGGCTGTACAGGTGTTTCTGATTTGAAAGATACCGCATTTCTAGACTTTTTATGTTCTTTTCTTGTATTTCTTCCTTTATTAGACGAATATTCTGCACATAGTTTATGCCGTATCGGCTGTATTCGATCATTAATTTCGCGTTTCTTCCCAGAAAACATGCACTTATTCAACTCGCTGTCTGATGAAATATTCATGTTTTCACGAGCCCATTAAGACGTCCTTGAACTCCTGAGGAATTTGCAGCAAGGCGAAAGGCTGCGATCCTCTTTATCTTTGGTTTATTTTTCTCTACTCTCTGCACGGAGTCTTGGCTGCAGCAGAAGCGCCAGCTGCGGCTGTAAACCGTGCAGCACAACTACAATTCATTTTACATATTCGCGTTGTTGCATTCCCTTGGAAGCTGCTGCTGAACTTCAAGGCAGAAGCTGAAGAGGGAAGAACGCAAAAAATAAGAGGAGAAGAATAAATCAAAGAGGGAGTGGACGGGCTGTGACTTTTTTCCTTTAGTAACCTGATCAGCGAGTATTGTCTTGTGTTGTATTTTTTTGTATTATGTTCTATTATCTTTTGTTCTTTTCTTTGTAAATATCGTAAGCCTACTCTACTTCATTCTTCTTGCCGCATTTGCTCTGTTTTCACTATTTTAAATTAATAAATAATCTTTTTTCAGAGGCTTCTCCAAAGGACTTGTGTTGTGGTTTTGTGCCTTCTTCTCTACTTCATGTTCATACTTCTTCTTTACTTTCTATATTAATACAACGAGATAATATTTTCCTTCTCTTTCTTGACATATCTTCGGCAGTCTTTTACTGTAACAGCATCGGCAAAGAACAACTTAAAATAATAGCAATAACTAGTTGTTATTATTGTTATTGCTACATTTATAATTATATATGTGGATTTATATTCGTACAGTGCATGCAATTAGGTTTTAGGGATGCAGCTGAGGCTGTGAGAGACTATTCCTCTCTTTGTCTTGCGGCGAAGCAGCACTTCTTTTCTGCTGCATTTCTTTCTTGTTGCAAAGCCATCAACCAGGCTTAGAAATATATTATTGTTATTAAAACATTCAGAAAAAACAGAGGCTTGAGATCCATTTATATATATAATGTATATATATAATCCCGCTAACACCGTATACAGCTGATAAGCAATTTCCTTAAGACCAACTCCAAATAATATATATATATATATATATATATATATATATAT